TTTGTAATTGAACTTAGCTGTATGTGCAGCAGAAGCTTTCCCGCTCCCGAGATTTCCAGAAGGAGCAATTGGCAATATTGGACCTGAGCAAAAAAGAATAAAGTTTATGTGTTTATTTTAAATGTATATGCCACTCATCTTACTTTGTAAAGCAACTCTTTAAAGTTGCTCTATAGTTGAGCTTGTGTGTGTTTTGAAGTTTTGGACATACCTTTCAGAAGCTGAGAAGGGCAGTTCATAGCATTTCAGTGGTACCATCTCAACATCCACCCTCTGTGGACACCCTTGTCCCACTTGCTAATTTTCCTGGGAAGGTGCCTTTACTCCCGACAGTAGCAAAAAGCCCTTAAAACTAGAAGCCATTGAGAATCTGATGCTGTCTGTCGTCTTTTTACAACCACTTCAATTCCTAGACATCAGATCTCATAGTTTAACAAAGTATTAAATTGGCTGACCAACCTTGGCAACTTCAGCTCCTAGACATCCCCAGCCAGCCATAGTGTTAGTTAAAGGAGAAAAATCTTGCTGTTGGTCTTGGATTGCAATTTCCGCACACTGCATATTTTAAAACACTGCACTTCTCTAATGGTCTCCTTTGGCCATCTTTGCAAAAAAAAATTGATTCATCTTTCCCCTTCATCTGCAATATTGAATGTTCCTAATGTGCTCCGTGACAATATTATCTTCATTCCCGTTCTTAATAAATCGGGCCTACTTCTCCTCTGCAAAGCTCCCTTCTCTGGCAGATCAATTTGCATTTACATATCGGAAAAAATGGGTCGCAGTGGCTCAGTGGCTCAAGATGCTGAGCTTGTTGATCAGAAAGGTCGGCAGTTTGGCGGTTCGAATCCCTAGCGCCGCATAACGGAGCGAGCTCCCGTTACTTGTCCCAGCTTCTGCCAACCACTGTACTTTGCATTGTGGGAAAGGGAAGCTGCCAATTTAGAACACCATCCCTGTGGAGGGATCCCCTTGAACTCCTGATATGGCTTATTCTGTTTTTCCCCCACCCTGCCTAGCTGGGTGTTAACAGCCACAGGGATCCACTTTGGCTTGTTGGGAAAGGACTTCTCACCATACAACCTCTGCACGGAGTCCTCATCTGACAACACTTCATGACCATTTAAAGCAGGGGTGTCCAACCGTGGCAACTTTAAGACTTCTGGACTTCAACTCTCAGAATTCCTCAGCCAGCAAAGCCGGCTGAGGAATTCTGGGAGTTGAAGTCCACAAGTCTTAAAGTTGCCACGGTTGGACACCCCTGATTTAAAGTGACAAGGGAACCTGAAAAATTTGAAGTTCTGATAACCACCCATGGTCAAGGAACTCCATTTTGGGTGCTAATGGCTACCAGCCCACATCTGCAGCGTCCCATGGTGACATGATCACCATTTACAACACCTAGTTTCTGGTAAAAAAAACAAAACAAAACTGCCCATAGAAAATAATGGGTTCACTTAACCACTGCTGCATAAAAAGGTCATAAAGGCAGTATCATGTGACTACCTGAGCCTCCAAGTCGCGACAGTCATTAAGTGCTTAATGACGGTCATGACTTGGAGGCTCAATTACAGTTGTAACTCAAGGACTATGTGTAGTTCAGAAGAAAGTTCAAAACTACAGTCCTGAAACAGGAACCTCAGGATAAAATATGTTCTTCCTTTTTTGCATTGTGGGGTGAATTTGGTTGTTAGGACACCACGGGATTAAAAAAAATACAGCTGAGATCTTTTTTTAATGTTGTACAACCGTGAGTTAAAAAGTGCAAGAGAAATGTCCTTTATTGATGAAAACTGATTGTTCAAGGAAGCAGTGCGTTGAATAACCCAAACCTGCCCTGCAAATTAGCCCCCTCTCCCCAGCCCTCTGCTCTTCCCCCCCCCCCACCCCCCTGGCCACAGACCTGCTCTGGATTCCAGGTCAGGAAAGTTTTTCGATACAGAGGCTGAAACAAGCCTTGTCCAAATCTTTCTTAATGAAATTAGCCACTCCGGAAGTGGCAAATACTTGTAATCCCAGAATGGCCCTTTTTATTTTAAAACAAGAAGAGTGGGGGGGGGGAAGACAACCCTCGCATTGACATTCAAGAGTTTCCTCCCTTCCTCTGGACAGCTGGCTCCAGTTAAGCTACATGAATGCATTTATTGGATAACTACTTAATAGCACATTAGCGCTGGACCAAATGGCTCAGAACGTCATTTTCCATTTTTGAAGATGGCTCCATTTGCTGCAATGCCTAACAGAGATTGAGGGTAGCGGGAGGCGTCACAACTAGGATCAGAACACGCTGATGGGACAAGGGGAGAACCAGCAGAGGAAGCTGGCTGTCTTCTAAACCAACCATCTGGGTTTGCACAGCATGTGACCATGGGTTGTGTGCATATGCGCTTCCTCACCTAGACGTCACACATTCAACTGAGCCGTGCTCAGCCTCAGCACATTGTGAGAATAATTATAATATATATATATACCGAAAGCATTTACACCAAGACAAATTCCTTGTGTGTTCAATCACACTTGGCCAATAAAGAATTCTATTCTAAATCCATACCAGATAATCTTCAACTCACAACTGTAATGGAGCCTGCCTATTACAGTCATAAAGTCATAAAATGACTCACCCTTGTGACCAGATTTTGATGACCTTTTTTTTTGGTAGGGGTTGTTAAGTGAACCTATTGTTTTCTATGGAGTGTTTCTGCTGACAGTCAAAAGTAGATGCTGGGTTTTTTTGGCAAAAATGTCGTAAATTGTGGTCATGTGACTGCGGGACGCTGCAAAGTAACTCTATAATGATTCATTTCAATAATTTAATTTTTTTAGCAGCGTTATGCCAGCATCTTATTGTTGCATTTAATTTTAACTGTATTCCTAATGTACGGATCATCCTCATTTAGCACCCACAGTTGGGACTGGCAACTTGGGCATTAAGTGAAGTGGTTACTAGTGAAACTGTGTCTGTGCTTACAATCTTCAGCTTTCTTTTGCTTTGTGGACTTGCAAAGGTCGTAAATACCAGGATTGCTTTCTTTATTCATCTCTGGCATAACTGCAAATGGTCACTAAATGAGACCTTACCTGTACTGTGACATTTACTTGTACTGTATTTATACTCCAATCATTTCTGTTCCACACTACAGCACAATAGCTGTCTTCTGTGTTTAATACTAAAGTGCATAACTGTTTTGAGGAGAAGCCTCATTTTGCTTGGAAAAATGATGGTGTTTTAGACGATTCCTGTAGAGAGACCCTCTGACGAAGGGAGGGAGGGAGGAGAGGGAAGGAAGGAGAGAAGGAGGGAGGGAGAAGAAGAAAGGGAGGGAGGGAGGGGGGGGAGGGAAGGAAGGAAAGGAAGGAAGAAGAGAAAGAGAGGGAAGAAAGGGAGAGGGAAGGAAGAAGGAAGGGAAAGAGGGAGGGAGGAGAGGGAAGGAAGGAGAGAAGGAGGGAGGGAGAAGAAGAAAGGGAGGGAGAGAGGAGAGGGAAGGAAAGGAAGTTAGAAGAAAAAGAGGGAAGAAAGGGAGAGGAAAGGAAGAAGGAAGGGAAAGAGGGAGGGAGGAGAGGGAAGGAAGGAAAGGAAGGAAGGATGGATCGATGGATCAATCTAGCTTCTGGCACTCCTGTTCCTGTTGGCACAATGGCTAATGGCAAAGGTCTTTGTTTTGGTCCCCATCACAAAGCAGCTCAGGTCCCTGCGGAGCTTTTATATTAGGCCAATCTAGGTTGTATTGGGGAAGTTGTGACTCAGCACTTTTACAATTCCATTAGGAACGAGCCAGACAAACCCCGAGGGCCGCCTACAACAACCCTTCCCATCACTATTTTGCATTGATGTCCCTGGGATCTTTCCCAGCCTCACGGGCTGAATTGTATCAATGCAACGTGTCACCATTATTAAGTAGGAAATGCCGTGTACAGCTGCTGTGTAAGCCTTAGACTAGGCTTAAAACTTCAGGCAAAAGCCGGAATCACTCCCTTCCACCTCGCACCATTCTCTGCCATAATAAAATACAGGTCTGGAGATGGTGGTAAATAAAAAGAGATTTTATTCAGATAATAACGGTGACATTTTTGTTGGGCGGAATTCATACATCTATTGCAGCTTTTCCAGAGAAACCACAGGAAGTACAAAAGGCAGAAGTGGGGGAGAGGGGAATTCCAAATGTGCTGAAATGCCTCTTAATTTATGTGCATTGCAAACTCTAATCCATGCTCCCCTGTGTGCGTTCCAAAACCTCATCCCCGAAAATGGCAAGGACTGACTTTCCTTTTCATAATGGGGAAGAAAAAAAACAACCACCCTAAAGGTCCCAACTTAAAGTCATTTTAAATAATGCACACTGGACATGTTAAAACTTTTTTTATTTATTTAATTACACATAAATAAATATATACAGATTTTATTATAGTTCCGTTTGGCCTCTCCTTCAAGGGCTAGTCTTGTGCTTCAGATCAATTATTAATTTATGGTTCCATTATTTAACATTAATAGCATTATGAATGTTTCAGAACTTGGAAAGGGAGGCTGGGTTGGACGACCTCTCTCACCTGCAGAGAAACTGAAGTGACCCTTTGCTGGAAGAGAGAGTGGCTAAGAGCAAGGATGTTGTCCCCTTTCGTGTTGGGGTGGGGGCTACCAAGATGGCTCTATCAGCACCTTCACCATGAGGCCTCACTGCACCCCCAAAAAAATGGGTAAACAGAGTTGTACAACATTTCCCAAGATTGTATCCCTGGGATGTTTTCTTCGCCACAAAATTGTAGCAAAGGAAAGCCACGTCAAACTTTAGGAATTGTGATTTGTAAGATTGTGATGGAAAGAAGTGCTGATGGAGCCTTCTCTCTCTCTCTCTCTCTCTCTCTCTCTCTCTCTCTCTCTCTCTCT